CGGCGAAATGACAAGTGATATAAAAAGAACGATATTCATAGGAGCACTTATATCACTTGTCATTTCGCCGTTCCTGAGCGCGCGAAATTTCAGCCCTATCATTTGTGGAAAATAATCGCTTCTAATTTAAAAACTATTATAGCCTCGACACTTTTGTATTAGGATTTTCGTCTGGAAATGTTCTAAGGAATCTGTCATTAAGAGGACCTCCGGTGGTTTTAGGACACCCTGTATAGAAATCTACAGCTAGTAGTTGTCGTATATGAAGAATTACTCGCGAAAGCAGCGACAGCGGTAAAGGATTTTTGCAAAATCGCGCGACGTAGATGTTTACTAGACTGACTGATCACTTCCGCAGGGTCGTATCTTGATTTTACGCAATTTTCAGTCTTTGTGCTTGAACACTCATTCCGGTCCGGAATGAGTATTTAGACACAAAACCCCGAAATTGTGTAAAATGGAACCTTGCGAAAGAGATCAGTCGAGACTCAATTGAGGTTCGCACGTGCGTTGCTGAATGGGATATAAAAGTACCAAGTCTCCGACTCTTTAGACCTTTTCCGGATCGGAATAAAAACTCTGTTATTGCGCGAATCAATAATTCCCTGTGTGTGCGCGCCGCCGCGCGTGTGTCGTCGCTGCATAAATCAGCTTCGTAATCAGCTGGTAGTCGCCGTGTGCAAAGTGTCGTTTGTTGCCTGAAAACAACATCATCGACTTCTGCCGTTGCTGTCCGACAATACGTCTCTGCTATTGCTGCCGATTGTGCGCGACTCTCGAGAGCGAGTCCCTCGGTCTCTCTCGTCGGGCGGACGCGCAACCGTGAACGAGACGCGGTCGCACGCACCCGCCGCGTTACGATCCTTACGCAATTCCACGTGCGTGAGGCGGCGGTGACGAAATATCATGCTTACGTTATCGCCGATATTATTTTCAACGGGCGCGCGCTCGAGTTACGAAGTCTTAATCTCTAGGTGCTCCACTTGAACTCTCCGCCGATCTCGATACTTTCGCCCGGCGATAACGAGTCTGCAACGACGAATGCACACGGTGCTGTCCCGCTCATCCGAATTGGCAAGGGATTGACGAGGGATTTCGCGCTGGGACGCGTGGTATCCGTTAGGCCCGGTCTACAATGAGTCGTTAGTCGTTAGTCAGAAGTCGCAACTATATGTTGATCCTTTTCCTTTCTGGGTGGAAGAAAAAGGACCGACATATAGTTCCGACTTCTGACTAACGACTAACAACTCATTGTAGACCGGGCCTTAAATTTAACAGATATCACATGTCTCAAACGGTCCGTGCAAATTTTTGCGTTGATTCAACACGATAACATTTTAATACAAAATAAATGCAACGCTCAAAGTAATTTAAAGTAAATTTTGTAAAATCAATATATTTTTAATCCTGCAGTTGACTAAAAAAAAGTTTTTCCTTTTCATTTTACAAACGTAATAACTTTTATATTATAGAATTAAATCAACATTTTATCCATAAATTTTAACCGATAAATCCTGTCGCTAACAATGCGGAACGTGTATTGCGTGAAATCGAAAACATTGTGTTAAATATTTCAGATGTATTAAAATTTTAACCCGCATAATTTTCCAATTGTGTACGATCGCCGAGCGATTTGACTCGTTGTTCTTCCTTAATTTTATTCGTCAATCGGATGGTCTAAGGTGTACAGACTTCTATGCACTACTATACTGCTACCCTCGAGCTGAAAAGTGAGGCAAGAGTTTCGCCATGCCTTGTTATCGGTCTG